GCGCGGGGGAGCCGAAACCCGAAGCCGAAAATGAGGCTGCGACCTCTCGTTCCCAAGAAGCGGATGGCCAAGGCCCCTTTTCTCGTCCTCAGCCTCTATAGCCCTCTCTATAATCCTAGTTCTTCCGCAGTTTCCCCGCGAAGCCCCTAGATCTCCTCTGCCGCTGTCTCTACCGCCTGCTTCCTGTTTATCCGCACTGCGCCTGCGCCGCAGACCGGCTCAGACCGGTCCTTTCAACCCAATTCCCCCTCCTTCTTTGGGGCCAGTCTATTAAGCTTCATGCGGTAGGGGGAAATAAAAGAGAGGCTGCGAGAAAAGCCTAAGGTAATGAAGGGAGTGGAATGTACCATCCCATTGTATCCCCCTCCGGAACAAGCTTGGCACCCTGGGACACACCATTACCCCACCCAAAGAAGGGGAGTATGGGAGGAGGCTTAGGCCGGTTGAGGCAACTGGGAGGTGGGGGAGGGTGAAAAGGAGAGGTGTTTACTCTCTCAATGCGCAGGCGCGGAATCGAAGCCTTTAGTTCTTAAAGAGATAGGGAGAAACTGACCTACTTTTCTAGGAGATTGTCATAAATTGGCTCATTAAATCTGTGTGATCCAAGCTCAGGTCTGTGAAGGCACCTTTCCCAAGAGCTCAGCTCACTCCTCTGCTGGAAATCATTTTCCCCTACTTCCCCCTAGAGCAAACCCAATGCAGTCATTCCTTCATTCTGCACACACCGCTTGAGTTTGCTTCGTGCTGGGCTCTGGAGCCGCTGTGAGTTCACAGTGTGGTGATGGAGACAAGCAAGCCCACACGCAGTTCTAACACGGCATCCCCACACGTGTCGGCAGCTCAGAGGAGGTAATGACTGACTCATTCTCCTGGGAGCGGCCATCGGGCTTTATTTTTGAGCTGGAACGTGAAAGTTAAATGAAAGCCGCACTGAGTAGGTGGGAAGGGAAGACAGTACTCCAGGCAAGTAGAGCAGAGTCCAAAGGTAGGAAGGAGTGAAAGGTCTGGCTCCTTTGGGAATGCAGAGCGTGTGGTGTGTAAGGGGGCATGATATCCCTTGGGCCTCAGCACCAGCATCTTCCTTGGGGAATCCTAGATGGGCTTGGGTCCCTCTGCTGTGTGCTCTCCAGGTGTCCTGTGGTCCTATCATAATGTACTCCACATTTATGTTGGTGGAGGAATCTGTCCCAACTTGTGAGGAAAAGCCTGAAATGAGCATCTGAGTCTCTCTCTGCATTAAGACAGTCTGGGGCTGACCTTATAACCTAGTGGTTAAGGGGTCAGATCCCATATGGTCCACCATTTGGGCTGGAGGCTTGAAAAAAACACTCCAGGTGTGCGTGCACGCACGTTTGCTTGTGTGCCCCAAATCCCAATAGGATGAAGAGAGGAGAGAAGGGATTGTAGCATTACCACTCCCCAGCGAGGAGGGGTGATAAAAAACCAAAACTGTTCATTTTTCACTGCAGTCTGATGTTTAATCTGATATTTGGCTCCTCTAGGAGAGCCCAACTTGTAGCTTTATGGACATTTATTGTCCCTCTTTTTAGTCTTGGTTTATTTTATTTTCCTTTCTGCTTTTCTTTCTTTTAAAAAAACATGTTTTTATGGTCTTGGGTTGTGGAAATGGGAGTTAGGAGCAAGCATCTTTTTAGGGGACTTCCTATGGTAACAGTTGGGACCATAAGCAGCTCCACTGGGTACTGTGGTCTCTTTGGGGATTTGAGGACTGTCATCCCAGCTGACACCAGCTCCTGCTCTCAGGACCTTTTCCTTTTTGCTTTACACCTGACACTGTGGCAACTACCAGCACCTGCCCTTCACAACCCAGACTCTGGGGCTGTAGGTCGGGTGCGACCAGCCTTCAGTTTCTGTATTTCTCAAACTTGAAGGGTGGTTCTTGCCACAGTTGTGACGCTTTCCCTTCATTCCACACCTCTACCAGCCCCTTCCCCAGCACTTAGGACAGGAGCCAGCTGTCGGTAGTCTCATGACAGATATTTGTGTATCAGAGAAGACAAGCAGATACCCAAATATATGGTTACAAATAAAGTGCCCTGGAGAAAAGCAGAGGGTACACTCAGGCATCTGCGTCATCTTGTTGAAACTATGCATGGTTCCTACAGCATCCAGCCTTCATATGCAAATCTTACTGTGCCCTGAAGCCACCCTTGACGGGGATGGAGATCTCAAGATCTGGATTGGTTTTATCTCCTAAAAACTCACTGAGTGACCTTGACAAAATCCTCTTCCTTCTCTGAGGCCAATTCCTCTTCTGTAAAATGGAAGGATAAGGGTGGACTAGATCACAGGTTTTTTTTTTTTTTTTTTTGAGAGACTTTTTGCCAGGGGGCGCAGTCACTGGGGGAGGGGGCGAAAGAGAGAAATCACTTGGTGGTGGTGGGAGGGGGATGGCCATGCTGCAGTCCCTTCTCCAGTCTTCTGGGATTTTGGGTTCACACACACACATGCCCTGAGTGTGTTTCAAGTTGACGGGTCCCCCACTCGAACCACAGTCAGCCATGTAGGAGTCCAGCTCCTTAACCATTATGCCACCTGCTGGTCCCAGATCACAGTTTTTCTTTTTTAAAGAATTTTTTTATTTAACTTTATGTATTATATTTTATTATTTTATTTAACTTCATTTATTTATGTACTTATTTTAACTTGACCATAGAGGGACAGAGTGAGAGAGAGAGAAAGAGAGAAAGCAAGCCGCCAGGCTCAAGACTTTAGCCGCAGTAGACCACGTGGGAATCCAGTGCCCTTGCTGCCAGGTCCGGGACTTGAACCACAATTGACCGTGTGGGAGTCTAGCACCCTTAAGTACCATGCCACCTGCCAGCCTTGGATCATAGGTTCTTAACTTAAGACCCATAGATGGACTTCAGGGATACAAAATCTTGGGAAATCTTGCCTCCCCCCCCCACTTCTGAATAACAGACCCATAGTTTTTATCAAATCTTTAATTGGGTGACCCAAAGACACTCAAGGACCTGAGAGTAGATAGTTCTGTGATGATGGTGCACAGGGAACACAGATGACAAAACAATGGACTCTGGAATACGTCTTTGCTTCTTGGACACCATACCTCTCCCTTGACCTCGTCAACGTGTAGAGTGAAGGAGAAGGCCTGAGCGTCCTCCTATGTAAGGTGCAACTTAGTAACCACACAGCATGCTCTGGAGAAGACAGGAGGAAGCTACTATTGACAGCCCCTCTCCAGGAACAGAACAAAGGACATGCTTGGCATAGGCTTTGGGACATCAATGTCCTGTCCTTCCTTCTTGTCTCCTGAGGTCGGTGAGTTTCCAAGCATCCCAAAACCCACGCCTTGGTCTCCTGCCATTGTACGGCCAGATGATGGGCAAAGGAGGTGCTTGCTTTGGGGGCTAAAAGGCTACAGGTGCATCGGTAGAACATTTGTAGGGTAGGAGGAACAAAAAGGCAAGAGTCGGCAGCCTGTGCATAGCCATTGTGTTTTATTGGATCTGGTGTATTGTACATTTTACAAAATATACATAAGAGCCAAAAATGCAAAGCAGTCGATAGTGTTCTGATGGGCAATGGGGCTCCTAGGCCCTTCCCCTCAGATTCTGGTTGACTGGGAGGGTGAGCTGATGGGATAAGCAGGTATATCAAGGGGGGGCAGCATGGCAGGGATGCTGACGATGAGGTGGGACCTGGGTCCTATGGTCCCTGCTCTCTAGGTATGATCAGGGGCATCTCTTGGTAGCTTGAGTAGAGCAAGAGGAGACCCTCGAGAATTGAACTGGTTATGTGGGAAGGGGGAGTGGAGTAGAGCGTGGGTTGATCAAAGATGCTAATGAAAGCCCCCACACTGGACTCAGATGGTGTGCATGCCTCCCTCCTTCCCTCTCCTCCTAAGGCCTTCACTGTGGGGAGTGATAGGACTTAAGTCCAGGAAGTTCCTGGCTCACTCCTTGCCTCCAAGTTTAAAGGACCTGGCAAATGGGAACTCCAGTCATAGATATTGGAAGAGGTGATGAGCAGAGAAAGTAGGCAGAAACTTCGGCAGGTGTCAGCCATCTCCCACCCATATTCCCCTGTCAACAAGTAGGAAGGAGGGAGAGGACGGAATTCCAGGGATGGGCCAGATATCCAGATCCCAGGCTTTCCTAGGAGGGTATGGAAAATTTCTGGGACATTTCCAAAGAGGTAAGGACTTCTGAAAAGCCAGGAAACTCATATCCTGATAGCCTGGGGTAGCAGACTTATGAAACTCAGAGCTGTTACCTGGGATGCCCAGGCTCTCACAATCTGCCCAGGCCTTTCTGCTCTCTACCCCAGCTACCGCCTAGGATCCAGTCACTAGCCCAGGCCCAGGATCCTCCTCTATATTCTTGTCCCTCTCCCATAGGGTTCTTAAAGGTTGGTCTGAAAAGCCGGCCAGTGCCTTTCTGAGAAGGGAGTCTTAGGGAAAATATGTACGAGATCAGGGAGGGGGGGAAGCACCATAGCAGGAGACATTCTGTCTAGAGTCACGGTTTCTAGAGTAGGGGTAGGAGGTGGGAAACCACTCAGTTCCAACAGTAAGGGCACCATCAGCACTGAGTGTCAGGCAGAAAGGGGGCCGAGAGCATTGGGAATTAGGAACATTCCCCCAGATGCACTCTGTCTACTCTCTGGCCCCTTCAGCTCCAGGGATCTGGACTACCAAATCCCCAGACTCTTGGATCTCTACAGTCCCCAGGATAGGGCTAGGATGAGGACAGGCCTGGGAAGAAAAGGGTGAGGTCGCCTGGACTAGGGCTAGAGCATGGTTTCCCCAGGACACGCTGACCCCTCTCCTGGGGAGCTAGATGACATTGTCAAAGAGCTGCATGGACCTCATGATGTTCTCGTCCTGTGGTCATGGTGTGAGGGAGGCAGATTGGAGAGAGAGGAAGAGAAAGAGCTTATAAGAGACATGGAAAGGGTCATTGAGGCAGAAATGGGAACATTCTAAGGCACAGAGACCTGAAGCAGGGAGGGGGTAAGCCTCCCCCAGTTGGAAGGGTAGGAGTGGGTTGCGGGAGTGAGTTAGGGAAGTGATATTTTGCCCAAAGGAGCTTTTTCCTACATCGCTGAATCAGGCCCTGGGTCCAGACCAAGGAAATGTAGAGGGCAAGAACTTGTACCTTTTGACAAGACTCAATGAATTCCTCAATGGTCACCACGCCATCCTTGTTTCTGTCCATCTTCTGCAAAAAGGTGGTCAAGCAGGGGAAACGGGGGATGGCAGGAGAGAGGCAGGCAGAACTCAGGTAAGTTCCCTGCTGGTTCCTGGTCTCCACCCCTTCACTCCAGGGCCCTCCAGCCTACCCAGTCCCAGGCACCTGGAAGAAGCTCTCCACGTGTTCCCTTGGGGCCTCCTCTCGGAGTGCAGGGTACGTGTACTTGCCCATCATGTCATAGATGGACTTCATGATGTCAAGCATTTCCTGTTAGACCAACAGAGAAAAGGATCCATCCTCAGAGCCTCCAGCCTCCAAACCGAGAGGCCTAGGCTAGGTCTCATCCCTTCCTGCGATGCATATGTGGGTGGGTTTTCCTCCCAGGGCTCTTTGCATCCACTTTGCCCGCCCACCCACACGCAGCCCCCCCGCCCTTCAGCTGCCCTGCACCTCCTTGGTGATACAGCCATCCTTGTTGAGGTCGTATAGGTTGAAGGCCCAGTTCAGCCGGTCATCTACAGTTCCCCGAAGAATCACCGACAAACCAGCCACGAAGTCCTGGGAAGGAGTCATGGGAAAGCTGTGTAATCCTGGCCCTGGAGCCCTAGGTAACAGACTTCCCTTGCCTCTCTCCCAGCTCACCTCGAAACTGACTGAGCCATCATGGTTGGTGTCAAAGGCATTGAAGAGGAAAGTGGCGTAGGTGCTGGAGTCTGTTGAGTGAGTGTGAAGAAGTAAGCTTGGCTTCCAAACAGGATTTTCTGCCTCCATGGATGCCCCCACTTCAGCCCCTCCTCACCTTAGCACGCCCAGCCCTCCAGAACCCTCTCCCTGACTCAGCCTACAGAGAGACTAGTGGCTTCCTGTGGGTTTTGTCCCCTTACCTCCTTGAGGAAAGAACTGGGAGTAAATCTGCTTGAAGTTCTCCTCATTGACAATTCCGCTGGGACATTCCTGGTAGGGGGGAACCAGGTTGAAGGGAGAGCCAGAACCCCCTTGCTCACTATCCCTTCCCTTCCCCCAAGGCCAGAGACTCCCAGAGAGAGAAAAATCTTCATGGTTCCAGAGGACTCACCACTTAGCTCTCCTAAGGGAAGCAAGGTTTCTTCTAGTGCATAAATAAAAAGCATGGAACTACCACACTAGCCTCCAGGCTTGGGTTCTGTTCCACTTGGCTCAAGGGTGGCTAGAGATTTGATGTGGGAGGCAGGCCCACACCCCTCCCACTCAGAGCATCCAGGCTGTATTTTCTGGAAAGTCAATGATAGGTCCCCCCCCTCCGGGCCCACCCCTAGCTCAGTTGAGCCTCCCCAGTTGGGCACTCACGTTCTTGAAGCCTCGGTACAGGACCTGCAACTCCTTGCGTGTGAACTTGGTTTGCTCCTGCAGCTGCTCCAGTCCCTCAGGCCGATGACATACAGTGGACAGTTCAAACTCATCCTCCACGCTGTCTGCGGGGAGGAGTTGGAGGAGGGGGACAGCCGCGCCTCAGGCCTAGTCCCCCTGAGACCTCTTCAAATCCCTGGTCAATACACCTCCCTCCCCATCCCATCGTCAATGCCAGAGACCAGTCTTCCAGTGCAAAGGCCATGGAGGCAAGGAGAGAAGACTCCAGCCAACCTCGAGGTCTATCATAACACCAAAGCCAGTCCAGGCCCCGAGCCAGAGGGCCAACTGAGCATGCGCCCCAGGGCCCTTTATCACTAGTTGTAAGGGAAGGCCCTCAGCCGCATCTTCGTCCCAGAAAGGAAGGAGTGGGAAAAGCGGGTTCAACAATGGGCATCTGAGGGTCGGAGCTCTGAGGGTCGGGGCTCCAGGTCTTCTAGGACCAACTCAGATCCATCCGGCCCGACCTTGCCCCGCCCAGATCCTCCCGGATCCCAGCCAAGCCCCGCCCACCCCAGCATGCCCGAGCCATGCTCCGCCCAGCCCAGCCTTCTCCTCCCAGACCCCAACCTGGCCCATCCCTAGCCCCATCTCAATCCCGCCCCAACCCAACGCCCAAGGAGAGTAAGTCACCTGGGTCCAACGGACGGGGTCTGTGGGGACGGAGGGAGGCTGGGGCGGCTAATGCTGAAGGGAGCGAACTGTCACCGAGAAAGCGGAAAACCCGGCCAAGTGCAGACACACACCTCTCCCTTCACTCACAGACCTGCCTGTTACAACGCACACATCCCAGCACCAAGCCCAAAGGCACACGTGACAGCACCGACAGCCATGAAACGGACCCCACGCACACATGCTCGCGAGACTCACGCCCCTCCTTTTACCAAACCTATCCCCAAGAGTAAGAGTCATTGGAATCGAAGAGAACGACAGACTCGAATAACTATTGTACAAAATGGGCCTTTACAATGCAGTATGATCCTATGAGGTGGGCAAGGCCCCACCCAGCAAGCAGAGACCTTAGAGACCAAGTGAGGTCGCTCAACTCGAGCTTATTTATCTGGGGACCTGGCTAGGACAGAAAACCTAAGTATCCTAATATCTGGCGGAAGGTGGGCTCCATCTTCTACACCTGTCCGAGCGCGAGGCCAAGAACATACCCAGGGGTAGGGTGGCCACATTGAATCGGACACTAATCCAGCTACAACGCGTTTGGATCCTCACTGCCCCTTGCCCTTGCCCACCACCCTGATCTAACACTGGGTCAGGTTCGACTTTGCAGATGGGTGATGCCCAGAGGCACTGGGCCCCGCCCCCGCCCGCCTCTGCGAAGTAGCCACGCCCCCTGACTCTGGGCGGGCCTGCGCTCACCCACACCCTGCCACACGGGTCACGCCCACACAGCGCACGCAGGCCGGCTCCGTCACACTGGTCACACTGCACACCGCACAGAGTCGGGCCCCGCCCCCGGAAGCACAGGAGAGGCACTTGCTTTCACTGACTGAGGGCAGGGCTTGGGGCCCGCAACACGGCAGCAGCTTGAGGAACCGCTGCTTCAGCGCTTTTTTAGTGGGCCCCGGAGGGTGGCCTGAGAAGAGAGAAGACCCCAGGAAGGCACATTAACTCCGACTGTCGCTCCATTCCCTGTACCCTCCCCGCCAGACAGAAATCAACCCCAGAGGGGCTGGAGAAGAATGAGGGGGTGGAGTGGGAGGAAGGAATAGCCAGGGTACCTGGGGCTGGGTTAGGGGTGCCCAGTGGGTCTCGCGGGCAATGGGAAGTCCTTAGAGGCAGGGCTCAGGTACTTCGTATAATGGGACACGGCCGTCGACAGCAAGGCAGCAGGCGGGTTGTGTGTGTGTGTGCGTGTGTGTGTGTGTGTGTGTAAGTGCCCTCGATGCCTTTGCTGCTGACCCAGTGCCCTGGGCTGGAGTACCATGCTGGAACGCTCGGGGTGATGTCCCACCCGAGGGTTGCCTGGCTAGGAATACCTCTCTCTTACACACCCATACGGCGACAGACATGTACAGTGACATGTAACATGATAAATCACAGGCTGATGGATGCCAGAGACAGCTTGATAAACACACCTGGTAGTTACGGAGGCGTGATTTAACACATACACATTTTGACCTTAACACATAGAAATGTGACCTAAGTAAAACATGACACATACATACAGAGATCTACATAGCCTCTCTCACAGTGCGTGCTCAAACCACAAGAATGCACCATGACCCTGGGACGGCAGGACACAGTATGCATATCCATTATGACATATGGCTAGGGTACCACGACACATACCCATCTCATAATGTGACCACGATCTCCAGGGCACTGACTCACACCCAAGGCTGCATCTCGCCCACAGAGCTTCACCCCTCTACTTTTCTGTAACGCCTCATTCCAAGACACCCTGCATCTCCTGTCAAGGAGCAGGCTTCGTCAGCAGCTCACTCATTACTGAAAGTGTGGCCCTTTCTCAGGCCCTTTCTTTCCTTTTTTTTTTTTTTAATAATTTTTTGCTATAGGGCACATGCCCTCGCCAGAAAGACAGAGACAGACAGACAGAAAGCGAGAAATCACCTCCCGGGGGGATGGCCACACCGCAATCCCTTTCTCCTCCATTCTCCTCTTGGAATCTTGGGCATGCACGCACACACGCCCAGCATGAATTTAAGCAACTGGGTCTGGGACTCGAACCGTGGTCGACTACATGGGAGTCCAGCGACGTAGCCAGTACACTAACTGCTGGTCCCCCCAGTCCCTTTCACTGGAGCTGTGCAATGATGGTGAGCTCTGAGGCAATAACGCCTTGGGAGATGAATATTTGGGTGAACTGTGGGGCTATCTAGGACCCACTGACCAAGGCTTCCCTCCCCTCTCCTTATTGCTGCATGTTCTACAGTTCTAATTGCACGAAGGAGGGCCCTCAGCATTCGTGTGTGTGTGTGTGTGTGTGTGTGTGTGTGTGTCCCAGCTGCACTCATCTCCAGGTTCCTGGGTCAGAGCCCACTGGACCTAACACTGTGGCTTAAGTTGGCCTCAGTTCATTCCTGGAGGTGCCTAACGACCTTTAGTTCCAGGTTAGTCCTCTACCCCAGTGCCTCCTGCACACACACATCCCACCCTCTACACTGGGCTCCACCTGCAAAGCAGGCCCTGCTCCCAGGGGGTAACTGTGCAAGGTAACCACCTCCTCTCCTCCACTGGTCTCCACTTCCCTCCAGCTCTATCCTAGGAGCTAAGGAGAGGTGGGAGGGAGGTGTGAGCATGGTGGGGATCGATGGTGGCCTGGCCCCTGGCCCAGGGCTCCATTAGCCTGGACTTTGGTTTCCTGAAGCCGGATTGCGTCTGGGGCCTCCGGTGGTATAGCTGTCTGACTGGGAGTGGCTCTCCCGCCTCACCCACCAGCCAACCCCCCCTTCCCTCTCCAGGCCTCCTGCCTGCTTCCGAGCTGTCTCCTTTAGGCTCCTCTAAAGGTAGGAAGAGAAAGGGCTGCCTTCAGCCTACAGGACCCCTGGATTTCCCAGATGGCCCTCTTCCCACCAGTCTAAAGAGGAAGGCAAGTTAAAGGCCAGGTGACACTGTCTTTTCTGGACTGGATGAGAATAAGCTCAGCCCAGCCTCCTCAGTTGGTCTAGGTCCAATTTCCAGTTCCCCACCCCACCCCAGTAAATGCAGCAGAAGATGGAGAGTGGGCTAGGAGTTTTCTGCTTTCACTGAACCTAGGGCGGGCAATTCATGAACCTTCCTCCTGTCCCTAGCTTCCTCCCTTCCATCCTTTCCGGTTCTATCAGGGGTCTACCCTGCAGCCCTGCTGTCATGGGTCGCCTATTTTCTTGTCCCTGGTAGACTGAGGAAAAGCGCGCTATGGAGCTATACAATACAAGTCTTGGTGTGAAGAGGAAGGAAAAAAAAAAAAAAGAGGAGGAGGCCGAAACTTGGGCTTGGGGGGCAGAAGTGCTGTCCTCCCCACCACAACGATCCTCTCCCTGCTGAGTTTGGGGTGGGGTGAGAAACTGATTTCCCACTGGGGGGAGGGGTTAACGTCCTGGAGACCTTCAGCCCTTGAATCCCGAGGGGAGCTTAGAGAGGTAAAGGGCTTGGGAAGCAGGGTCCCTAACCCGATGCACCATCCACTGTTCACCCCACCGCCGCCCCCCCAGCCCACGCT